AACATATTATGAAAATATAGTTTATGATATATCTAATGACACTAATTTGTTGTCATAAATCTTAGTAGATTCAGTTAAATTTGAAAAAGTTTGACTTAAGAAAACTCTAGGAATTAGTGTCAAATTATTTTCAATCTGTTTTATTTTTGTAAGAACTTTATAGTATTTATTATATTTTCAACCACGTCTCCTAAAGATTAATGTGTGGAGGCTCTATTGAAGACCTCTAATTAGTACCAGTATAAGATAGCTAGCAGTTGCAAAAAAGGATTAAAATTAATAAGCACGCAACACGTACTTGTTCATGGATCTACACAAAAGCTGCAAATTAAGCCCAACTAGAACCGATGAACATGCAACTCTCAAGTCTCAACTGGACGAGAGAAGCTAAGGAGCACACAGTGCTGAGTGCTGGCTAGCTGGCCAATACCAGCTAGCTAGTACGATAATGAATAAAAAAGATAAATCTACACGGTCTACTGGCACCAATCAAATCTAGGCCTCATTTAGATGCGAAAAATTTTGGCAAAATGGTACTGTAGCAGTTTTTGTTGTTATTTGACAATTAGTGTTCAATTATAGTTTAATTAGGCTTAAAAGATTCGTCTCGTGGATTTCGTCTAAACTGTGTAATTAGTTTTATTTTTTATTTATATTTAATGCTTCATGCATGCGTCTAAAGATTCGATGTGACGAGGAATCTTAAAAAATTTTACAAAATTTTTTGCAACTAAACTGGACCCTAACCAAGGCCAAGATAGGTGCTTTTCAGTACGTTTCAGCATCATGCGACTAGCCAGCTCCCAGTGCATACTGCCGGTTGTTGTATAAATCATTACAATTTATTTTTCAGTTCATCTATATAATAATTATATCTTCACTATTAATATATAACTCACTTGTCTCTCTTACAGAGTTTATTGATTCTTGTGTCTAAGCCAGCTGTAAGCTTATAGCCCGTTTCTCTCTCATTTTCTCTCTCCTTCACATGGGCATTCAACCTATTATACTTGCTCTTATCATAATCATGCGGAAATTAAATCCAGGGAAAAGGTAGCTTTTATCCTAATCTGCACTACTTCACTCACGATGTTATGCCCCGAATCCAAACCCACGTGTTTAACAACTTCCACCATCTTATGTTACCATGCTGCCTAGAGTATATAATAATATACCCGTGCTGTAAAAGTCCAGCAGCAATTATATACTAGTAACGTGCTGTAAAAGTGTAAAGTACAATTTTTAAAAATATCATTCTATTTGCTCCAAAGTTATTCTTCCTTTCGTCATAATGGAAATGTATGTGGGGGAGCAAAAAGTATACACTGGTCGACTGGTTAACAGAAGTAGTAAGGTGTGGTAATAAGTGGCCAAAAGGAAAAGGCACCTAATAATTTGGTTCTTATCTATATAAAACAAAATCCGTGAATAAGACAGCCTTCACTATATGGTTGCGATCGATTACCAGATTTGGTTTTTATCGCAAAGAGATGCCTTTAACTGACACCTAATAATTCATATACTTTGACGCTTTTCCCATGAGTTTTCACCGGGACGGGGGAGATGTTATTTACTAACCTTATCCTTTGTTTGTGGCCTTTTGAATTTATTGGTAAATTATGCTAAAGGAACACTTATGTAACATAAAATGCATAATTAGTATTATTGGTATGTGATTTATCAAAAGGATATTTTTTATCGTTGGTAAACTATAGGAACATATAAATTTATCACTCATGCATGCATAATACTACCACGTAGCATGCCAATTTAATTTGAGTAAGTTTATTTGTAGAAGTGATGTGTAATTTAGAAGTGTACAATATGTTTTATTTTCCTTTTTATGATAGCAGATGCTTGCAATTGAGATATAGATTTGAGTGGCTATTTTAGTTTATTTAATTAATATGACATAGGTGGATAATTTACATACAAATTTTTAGTGCTGTTTTTTTTTGCAAATTACACAATACAACTTAGACACTTACAATGCACGCACACTCTCTCCTATGAAAGCACACGGTAAATCCTCGAGATTGACAAAGTCACCATAGGCGCCTCACTGTCGACGTGAACGTCGTCTACCACTGAAAGCATAACACCATTAAATCCTGAAATATTCACTCCTACGGGTAGTCGAACCCAGGACCTAAGGTGCTATGGAGGCTTCTGTAACACTAGGCTACATAACTCTTTGTTGTTTTTCATAACGGTGGAAGTGAGTAATTGAAATCGAATTAGATCTATCGAGTATTATTATCGTCGATGAAGTCTACTAAAAGCTCTAAGTTTGGTTTTGGTAATTGAATGACAATAAGTGGACTAATGTTTTCAATTGAGTTGTGATTGAGCTAGGGCCCACACCATGGGTTGAGCTAGATGGCATCTATGGTGTAGATAGAGAAGGCCACAAGTTGATCAAATGCTCACACTTGGGGAGATGAAGGAGAGATGCAAACAAGCCCGAAGGCAGTATAAGCAGGGATTTTCATTAAGTTGTCCGAGACACAATAGAGAGTGTGGTCTGGTTTATGATAGATAACATACTATTGTGAGCAGAACTCTGACGCAAAATGATTATCTAAGTGCCACTAGGTGTGAACTAACTTTGCGTATGTATGCATTTGACCTAGTGGCGCGGTGAGATGCAAGTGAAAAATGTTTTTGTAAAGCTAACTCCGTGTCTAAGGTGAAGATGTTCATGTTTGAACATATTGGAGTTAGCGGATTTAAGTTGCCTGCGAAGTTTGTGAGTTTGTGCAGATTTTCCTGCACCATCTGAAATGTCCAGTGCCCCTCAGAGGTAGTCACCAGAGAAAGAGGTGCAACGTTAAATATTAAACTGTGCAATGCGATACTCACTAGAATGTTCGTTGGTATCCCCACTGCCCGCACTGGAAGATAGGGTGCTATGTTCTGAGTTAACAGAGAGTTGGGGTACTCTTCGAAAACCTCTGGTGGTACCCCCTACCCATGCACCAGATAAAGCAATAGAACCTATCGGGTGGCGTATGTAGAAAGGTTTTGTCGTTACCGGAAGCTTTGCACCGGAGACGGAGAGGCACCGGATAAATGTAGAATCAAGTTTGAATTCCAACGGCTAGTTGCTGTTGGCGCGTGACTGGGTTAGCCACCGGAAATCTCCAGTGTTTGGCACTAGAGAGTGCAACGGAGAGAAAGATCCTAGATTTAATTCCAACCGTTGGATCCTCATAACCTTTGTTCAGGTGCAGCTCCTCCGGTGCCCACCGCACTTTTCCAGTGTGTACACAGATTGCCCAAACAACTTTCCACCGGCTAGTTTTTAAAAGGGTGTATATTCTCCAAACTCCAATCCTTGATCTTTTTCATCGCCAATCTATTTGAAGCGTGGATGGATTGGCTAGAGACCGACATATTTCTACCCACCCAATCCAGGCGCCAGCACCACCACAGCAGACCCAGTCCGTCTGCCCCAACCTGGCAACTTCCCAAGGTATACAACTGTAGTATCTGGGTGACAGTAGACGAGATGACCCTATATTAGATATGGAAAGAGTATCCGGCTTCATCCTCATTGAAGAGGAATATACCAACTTATTACAACTTACTAAGTAACTCTGGATAAACAAAGTTCTTGTAAGAAAAACAACTCAAAAACCCAATTCTAGACGAAGAAGGCCATCCATAGGACGCAAAGAGACTTATTATCGCGGTCTCCAAAAAACAACAAGCCTCCAGCATGAGCGCTTGTTGAACCTCACGCCGTTGCAATTGGGCCTGAGAACTGAAGCCAATGGGTCTCCCGGAATAACACCTACAAAGAGAACTGGGTCGATAATTGTCAAAAATAACTTTGTTCCTTGTTATCCAGATTGACCATAAAATGGCCACCGCACCGATCAGTAATAGTGATCGAAAATTCTTGTCTTTCCAAGAGTACCATCCATTAAACAAGTTATGGGCATTCCGAGGTGGCTTAAATCCTAACACCATATGGACTGCTCTCTATAGAAACATGGCATGTGAGCAATCAAAGAAGAGATATTGGATGGTTTCAGATGGGTTGATTGTCGATGCATTATGCACTTTATGTGTAGAATTGTTGAATTAAAAAGAGGGATTGATATATGGCCAATTTGTTAAATTTGAAACTTACTATGTCATTTAGTATTTGTATATTGAATGGTGGGAAAATTTTGTATATGGTCGTTAACCAAAGATTTTACTGAATTGTACATGAATGTACATCCTCTTTTACGGGTTGGACTAGGTTTTGTCGAAAGACCGGTTAAACCGAACCATGTACATGCCTTAGCAGAACTACGGAAAAACAACAAAATTCCAAAGGGTTGAGCAATGAAAAAAAAAAAAAAAATAGTACAAAATAGAGATGGGCGCCTTCCCATTTTATTCCAGTCACCACGTGCATCCACTTTATTTAAGAACGCCATGACCCTACCTACATCAAAGTTGTAGTAGATAAAGACAGATTTGGCGTGTGGCTTTGCGGCGGAAAAGAAAACACACAAAAAAAACAAATAAATGAGAGGGGAAAAAAAAACAGAGACGCAGACACCCGCGCTGACCAGCATCACTCCCGCACGCGGCATCCACGCCTCTTCCTCCTCTGCTCTATGCCTCTATATAAACCCGCCTCCTCCCTCTTCAGATACAAACACAACCTCTCCTCTCCTTTTATCAGCCATCACTACGTGAAAAACAGTTTGTAGCAACGAGGCTTTTTTTAGGGTCGGCTGGCATTAGAGCAGTCCCTACAGTGATGTGCTCGGGCTCCAGCACAGCAGCCACCCCTATAAATAGCACAGTAGGGGCGGCCGGTAATACGAGCCGCCCCTACAAATGCGTCGATTTGTAGGGGCGGCTGGTATGTAGATGCGGCTATTATCAGCCGCCCCTGCTGTGTCCATTCCAGCGGACTCCATGCCCTCACATGTCCGCCAGTCCGCTCACTTCCCCATCCCCTCGTCTCTCTCTCTCTCTTCGTCTCCCTCCCCAAGATGGAGAGCACATCGCCGCCGCCACCGCTCCTCGTCTTCCTCCTCCGCCACCGCTCCTCCACCACACTCTTCTCCACAGCGTGGAGATCCCCTCCTCTCCTTTCCCCTCTTAGATCTAGATCTAGAAGGGTGCGGAGGTGGGGCTTCCACTACGTGACAGGAGGGGGAGGATGGAGAGGGTGCGGTAGGGCAGAATCCCTCATGACGGGGCTCGCATCGCTTCGCACGGTCGCATCCTCTCGTCCTCTCTGCGCTAATCCGGCTCTTCTTCCCCAAATCCTCCTTCCCCGATCCAGTCCCACAACGACGCCGAGGGAGAGCGAGAAGAGACAGACACATATCGCTGGAGTCATTGTTTGCATCATTATGTCTTCTCAAGCGACATGGCCAGCAAAAGCTTGATTTTCACCATTAGTAGCTCTGTAAATTATTCGGATGGAATGTATCGGAATGTGCATGTCGTCCGATGCATATATATATATATAATATGTTCTGGTCGAATTTAAATTGTAAATTTGAATATTTTTGCGGAAAAATATATTGTAGGGGCGGTTCTAGACTAAACCGCCCCTACAAACAGGTATTATAGGGGCGGCTGATAACACCAGCCGTCTCTATCAAATCGATTTGTAAGGGCGGTCTGGGAACCGCCCCTAAAAATACATGATTTGTAGAGACAGTATGGTAGGAGCGGCTGGCCGAGCCGCCTCTACAAAGCCTCACCAGCCGCCCCTACTAATCATGTTTGTGGTAGTGCATGGTACAATGTTTTTCTTTCATAACAAATCAGCCAACAATATTTTTCAGCCTGACTTTTTAGCGAAGCGAATAGGGAGTAGCTAGCTGATGAGTGCGCATAGATGGGATCCAAAGGTAGGCGAAAAGAAAAGGCGTGTTGATGGAACTTATTAGGGCAGCCTAACCACACAACTCACAGGACCAGCCAAAGGGTACTGATGAGAAAAAGAGAGGGTGACTGGAACAAATTTTGCATGCTGCCTCCTCGCCTGCCGCCGGGTGCTGCTGATGAACAGTAGCATCGCACTTTGTTGCTGGCCTGCTAGCAGTAGCAGAGCAGGCATGCAATAGCAGCAGCACGATGCAAACGGACGCTAGCTGATGAATGAACGAGAATGATCGGGGATATTTCCACTCTCGGTGGCTCTCTGCTGCTGCCATCACTAAATACTAGTAGCTACTACCTTAACCATGCATAAAAACGAAAGATGAGCCTCCTCCTGCAGATTGCGATGAGGTCTATTTGCGGATGACTCAACTGTGACTGTACATGGAGGCACTCTCCTCTCAGAATAGTATAGATAAACTGTAGCTTTTAAGCGTGTATTTGGTTGTGAGACGATGGGAGATGGATTGTTCCATCCCCTATTTTAAGATGGAAACGTCTATGTCCAGTGTTTGACGGTAAGGGACTGTCCGTGTTCCGTGTTTAATTTCAGGGCATCAAAATCTGAGACAAGTCATCTGACATATAGGCCCTAATTGTCATTCTCTCGTCCCTCGTCCCTCTTTAGAGATGGAGGGTGTCCTCCATATTAAGAAATATTCCCCAAACAGGATGGATCTTGTCCAAGTTGTCTTAGAACCAAACACTATAAAAAAGAAGATTGTTCCGTCCCACCCCATCTCTTAACCAAACACACAATAAGTTCCACGTCAGTGATTTAGTCCTAACCCCTGCTCCACTGACGATTTTAGTGCAAATCCAAAGCCACGTGTTTAACTAACGACTTTAGCTCTCTTTTATGCGTTATATCCGATTCAGTATAAAGTACTAGCAATTATTAGCAAACAAAATAAATATTGTACTATCAGGTCACATGCTGTAAAAGCGTAAAGAGAGAATTGTTTACTACCATGTTTATCTTTTGGTACGCTAACTAAAGTGACAAGAGGTGCGTTATAGGGATAAGGAATGCGACTGCCTCAGTGTAATAAATTATGATAAATAGCGAATAAGATAAGACATCATATAGAGTAGTAGTTAATCTAGTAGGAATATGATTAAGATAATTTGATTCCTATCAGAAATGGAGGCCAACAACGTGTGCGTAGAGCAGTGGTAAAAACGCTGTTACACGCGGCCTACAGTTGACTCCACGTTCTAAAAAAAGAGCCACTCGCTATGCTATTTATTACTCCATACGTTTTAAATTATAAGACATTTTTGCTTTCTTACGTACATTATTTTTACTATATATTTAGATATAGTGTATCTCGAAGTGCATGACAGAAGCCATGTATTTAGAAAAGCTATTTATAGTTTGGAATGGAGGTAGTAATAGCCAGGGTCATGACCTTTTCTTAACCCTATATATATGGTTGAGACTTCTTTTTAACAAAATATCTAGGGAGCCTATAACCAGGGGTTAAGTTTCTTTTTTTTTTGTCAGAAATGGGGGTCATTTATGTATATAATTTACTTATAAGTATATTCAAGTGCATTGATGCTTTTAAAAAATGTTGGCATTAACAAACAAGCCGTCGCCGCTAGTACCATGGCGTGTGGCCATGAAGGCGACTATGAGGTGACCGTGGATGATGGGCACATCTGGGGTGGCTAGGGCTATGTGGGGAGTGCACGGTGGCGACAAAGGAGCCGGTGCGTGGTGGTGTGGTGGTGGTTGTCATGCTTGTTGTATACAATTTTTAGTGTGCATGTGGTGGCGTATTGGCAGCCACGTGCTAGGTGCAAATTTTTGGTGTAGTTGTGATGGCGTGTTGACGGTTGTGTGCTAGGTTGGCCGCTTGATGGGGATGGTTTCCGTGGTGGATGTCGTTGCTATGGCGGCAAGGGCGTGGTGAGTATGCAGACGAATGCTGAGCTCGGCATTGTATCAGTTGACAACAACGGTGCTTGAATTATGAGCATCACATTTCTTCCTTGGGGGCGGTGTTGATGAGGCCCCACCATCCTCTAGGTGGTTCTCCATGTGAAAACCTTGGCTTGGTTTATTCGGCGGGAGGTGCCAACGTTTCTCATTTCGAACACCTTTTCACCATGACAGCGGTGCATCCACAATGATCATGATGCTTTTGGTTGTCTCCGCGACCGCAGGTTCATGTTGGGGAAGAGTGGATCCTTCTCTCTCTTCCTCTCCCGGCCCTCTGTAGTTTGCACACCTTACCTAAGCTAGCATCCGAAAATCCATGCGTTTAGTGGTGTGTGACTTGATATTATTGGAAATGCGGAGGCCTCGTGTGTAATGTAGTGTTGCTTGCACACGGTGTGTTGTTAGTTGTTTGTTTCTTTTTTTCTTTTTTGGTTGTTCGTCTTCTAGGGTTATAATTTTGTATTTTGTGTCTTCTATATCAATAGAAACATACCTCGTGCGTTGTTTGTTCAGAAAAAATCCTAAGCTAATCATGTATACACTAAGATATTTGATCATTAATTGTTTATAAAAAACGGTGACAAAAATCACACTTTTATCTTTTTACAAAAGAAGTGAGGCCTTTTGTTTTTTTAACATGCACACTAGATTAATGACTCGTTGCAAGGTCAATGCAATAGAAGCACACTAGATTAATGTCTATGCACCCCTCCCACCCCCCATAAAAAAAGAAAAAACATCGAATTTGATTAAAATTTCACAATATATACACATTCAAGAGATATGTCTATGCACCTATAAGGCATCTCTACCTCTCAAATTTACTCTAGCTTTGTCACTAGATGATGATTTGTTATACAAGTATGCATGTGAACACACCGGAGGAAAAATATGACATAGATAGATATTGGTCAACTCCCTATGTATAGCTACAAAGACTATCAATTTTGTTTCCGTAATATTTTAAGAAAGCATTACTTGATACTAGGATCAATATGTTACAAATTGGCTCGTGTGACTTTGATGATTAGAGGAGAAGAATGTTATGTTTGAATTGGGATATAGATCAAGTTCTCACAAATGGATTTTTATTGGCTTCCATTCACCTCCTCTGATCGTCTTTTTGGTCCTTCGGTTTTGCTTAGATCTTAATACCACCGTCTAATTATAAAGTCATGTCTATCAAACATGGAAAGTAGCTTTTTATTATTTTCTTCAAGTCATTGCAAGGCGTTCGAAGAAGGACATTCTAGTATTATTAATAAATGCATTTGTGGCGTAGTTACAATTAAACAAAAAAGGCAACAAACACAGGATAAGAGGTTCATGAAAAGCATCTCTCCCTGTGAAAACTCATGTGAAAAGTGTCAAAGTATATGAATTAAGTACCAGTTATAAACATCACTGAAAGGTCCTAATGGCTAGAGGGGGGTGAATAGCCTATGAAAATTTCTACAACAACACTTAGCAAACCGGTTAGATAAATATAAGGCGAAGCGAGTGTTGTGCTAGCCTACTAAAAATGCAAGCCACCTACCACAATTCTAGTTTCTATAGTCTCTGTCCACACAATGGCTATGTCACTACACTAAGTTAGTGTGCTCTCAAAGGCTAACTAAAGAGCCACACTAACCAAACTAACAAGCTCTCATGACTAGCTACACTAAAGAGCTTGACAACATGTTTGTGGTAATGTAAAAGAGAGAGAGAGCAAAATGGTTATACCGTTGAGTCAAGGAATGAACCAATCAATCACAAGAATGAATACCAATGAAGACCAATCACCTCGGAATCAAATGATGACATAATGATTTTTTACCGAGGTTCACTTGCTTGCCGCCAAGCTAGTCCTCGTTGTGGCGATTCACTCACTTGGAGTTTCACGCGCTAATTGACATCACACGCCAAACCCTCAATAGGATGCCGCACAACCAACACAAGATAAGGATCACACAAGCCACGAGCAATTTACTAGAGTACCTTTTGGCTCTCCACCGGGGAAAGGTCAAGAACCCCTCACAATCACCACGATCGAAGTCGGAGACAATCACCAACCTCCGCTCGACGATCCTCGCTGCTCCAAGCCATCTAGGTGGCTGCAACCACCAAGAGTAACAAGCCAAACCCGCTGCGAAACACGAACACCAAGTGCCTCTAGATACAAACACTCAAGCAATGCACTTGGATTCACTGCCAATCTCACAAAGATGATGAATCAATGATGAAGATGAGTGGGAGGGCTTTGACTAAGCTCACAAGGTTGCTATGTCAATGCAAAATGGCCAAGAGAGTGAGCTTGAGCCGGCCATGGGGCTTAAATAGAGAGCCCCCATGAATAAATTCGTCGGCTCCTCTGTCCAGTGAAACACAAGCTGACCGAACATGCTAGTCAGATTGACTGGACACAGGAACCCAGTGTCCGATCGCCCGATGCTCGCCATGTGTCATCAGCCTCAAATGCTGAGCGCCCGATCTTAACGGCTAGTCTTCTTCATGCCACGTGTTAAGTTGCGACCGGACGCACTGCTTAAAGTGACCGGACGCTCCATC